TGCCGCCTGTCCCTCGGCGTGGGCCGAAAGTGAGGAGTCAAGGGTCTCCGCTCCCGCCAGGGCGGGAGGTGGCAGGTTCGATACCCGCCCTCGGCACGGACGAGAAAGCCCTGCCTCCCGCCACGCCTTTCGGGAAGCGAGCAGACCGTGGGGAGTGACCCGTCTTTACAATAAGGGGAGCATGGGGAAGGAAGAGAAAGAGCCCCCCCCAAAAGGCTCAGACAAATATTTCCAAAGCGATTTTCCATGAGTAAGGGAACATCTTAAGTCATCCTAGAAGAGAACCTCCCCATCACCACCAGTGTTCGTATTTCACCTGACCAGAAGAGCTCCCAGGAGTCCTCTTGATGCTAGGATAGCAGAAGGGCATGGTGATGTCAGCATCTTCACCGCACCAAAAACATTCACCAAGGGCTACATTAGCAAGACGAAATTAGAGTCTCTGTTCTGGGGGAAGCAATATTTAGCTTTCAGGCCTTACTGTCTATAGGTTTCATGGACCCCTATCAGGTACCTTGGACTTTCTGAGCAAAGCCAGGGTGAGTTAGCTACCCAGCGAGGAGTTTTCCAAGAGCTAGTACCCAAGGTAAGAAGCTGATTAAGGGAATCAGTAGGAAATGCCAAGGAAACGTGGTATACCTCCAGCAGCAGTCAGCCATCTAGCTCTAGAGCACAAAAGATTTGGAAACTTAGTACTTCCTCTTTAAAAAACAACAAATGAGCCAAAAGAAAGGGGATGACAAGGTCTCCGTAAAGTGCAAGAAGTGATGGTCTCTGTACTCCACTCATTTAGTGCCCACTAATTACAGTGCTCGTCCAGAACACAGAAGACCTGGATAAAATCCCTGCTAGGCCTGCTGGAATTTGAAACCCACACCGTTTACAGAAGTGTTTTAATCAACAGGCTACCGGAGGTGCCGGGAGTAGCTGTCCCAATCCATCACAGATTATGTTACCTCCAGTAGGGAATTTCAGTACAATCCTTTCAGCCTCAGGAGACAAGGTGTAATCCCTGGCCACAGCATAGGTTTCTTTAATAGAATATATGACAGATCTGGGTGACCAAAACTAACTATCCAAATGTTACTGACCTGCAGTTTCTTTGGAAGGTCAAAGACAGACTTGTACTTGGGTGACCGGAGATGTTTGACTTCCTACCTTACCAACTCCTCACTACAGTTTTGCTTACGCTTCTTTACTCATAAGCCTATCGTATAAGTAATACATAGGCTCGTCCCCTTTAGCTATCTGCTGATCTGTTACCCTTGTGAAAAGATTATGATCATGCATTAGCTACCCACAAAGCATAAACAACACTAAGAGAAGCTCATTACTCTGTACATTTTTACACTGTAACACACAAAACCAGCAGATTTCCTTTTCCTGTTTTACATACCTGCAGTAATTCTGCAAGCTTTCTGAACATCAGAGATTCACAATTTAATGGAAACAGTAAGACCAGTAAGACAAAGGTTGAGGCCTAGATGAAGTTCCTCTGCATTGCATGAGATAATTTCAGCAGCAAACAAAACCTAGATTTCTACCTTCCATATAGTTCAACACCCACAGCATAACAGACATGTTCTGGCCCAATGAGAGGCCAAAGCAAAAACAAAATGGAATACCTTTAGATCAGTTCAGTTTACTAGCTGAAACAGCTTTGGCTTTCAGTACTTCTACACGTATTCCAGCTAGTTTCCTGAATCCCTTTGTGCCTTCCCAAATGCAGCATTTAAGAGCTAAGGTCAGGCACTGTGTCTAGGCCTGCAACTAAATTGCATCTATTACTGAGATGACACACTACATCGATTCTGGTACTTATTATCTAAAATGATACTTCAATGAGTCAAATGGATGCAAGTGCTCTCACAGGTACTGAAGATTCCTGCACCAGGAAAACTTTTCTAACAAAACTTTAGAAAAGTCTACTCTTTATCAGAGAAAAAAAGTTCTCCGTACAGGAAAACCCAGCACAAACCTCATGATCTCGTTTCAAACCCCTGTTTGAAAGATTCTCAATCATGTATTGCTTCTGAAATAAGTGGAGCTTTAAATTAGCTCTTTCAGCAATTTTTCAGCAAAACACATCAATGTAATGTGCTCCAAACCTTCTTTTCCACACCCATGCTGTAGCTGCTCTTCAGCTGTCTTTGCATTAAGGACTACACACTCACCTTGGGCATTACTATTTGTTACGTTGCAGCTCATGGAGCCCTTCTGCTTCCCCGTATCAGAAGGCCTCAACTGGGGCAGTCTTGTTCACTGTCTTGATGACTGCAGAGAGGCAGCAAATTTCTACATTGGATCACATTATTTCACCAAAAACAAGGCACCACACTGAAAAACCCTAAAACGGTCTCAGAATTACTTCTGAATCAGCTGGTCCTCTATCAGTGTTCTTAAAAGAATTGCTTCTCTGCAGGTCAACAGAAACTGTGAATTCAGGGCATCTCCAGAGTTCTGCTGCACATCTCGATGAGACTAATTCCCATTAGGCACTCTTCCTCTCTTTTGATACCCCTTACAGGCTTACAAGAATTCCCAAATGCATCCATCCCACAGGCTCCGAGAGGTGTTTCGTTTGGAACACTGCTGCCTATTCTTACTTTGGGGCTTGTGCTTGCTTCTTTTAAATGATACTCTGCTAAAAGTACACAGAAATGACATGAGGGGCCCTATTCAACAATAGGCCAATCTTTGAGCTGTGTAAGGCAAGACATGCGGAGTAACTGATAATGCTACAGATGCAACATGGTAACTGAGCAGAGATCAAGTTCAGACAAGCACTATTGCAACCCCTATTCAATTGATAGGGCCGTTATCTGCAGAGGACACTTGCCAGTCACCTTCAGCAGAACCCATGATAACAGAACCACAATGAAGGAGCGCTTTGTGATCATGAGTTCTTTGCAAGAGTATAAGCTATGATCTCCAGCCCCGTATTTTGGAACCACAAGTGTTGAAGGCATCAGATTGTGAGGGGACGAGAAGTTGGGTTGCAACTCCTTATTCTAGTGTATTTTCAAATGGACAAGGAGGAAGAGGAAGCACCAGTGTGAACACGGACCGACAAACACAGGTAAGCCTTAAAACCCTCCTCTCAAACATGTACATTGAGAGTAAGATCCACACTGACAACAGGTGCTCAGATAGTCAGAGACAATACAGAATAAGTAATTATTCTGTCTTTGGAAAAATCAGGACTGTTTTCTGCAACAACAAGCAGAGCTTTTGTTCACCAGCCCAGTCTGGACATTAGTAGTACTGTAATTCTTGCCACTAATCTAGAAAACACAATCAACAACAGTGAAACATACCCTTTTCTTCAATTTGTAATGCTATTTCCATCTGTGCTTCCACATTCAGGGTGAGCGTCGAGAGAGAAAGGTAACTTCCATATCCTCACTTGTTTAAAAGGCTTATACCTATGCTGGGTTTTTAGCGGGCTGGCCAGGCAAGTTGGTATGTCTCTGATATTGTTCTGACCTTGCACAATGCTCTCCTACAACGTACTCCCTAGAAGCAAAGACAGATCTCCAACAAACAAGGCAAGAAGCAGCCAAGCTGAAGGCTATCTGCTGCTTTCGAGTGGTGACAGAGGTGTGGAAGAGAACTGAGCAGGGCAGGGGAGGGGAGGGCAGGCAAAGGGTAGATTTGGTTGGGAAAGGCACGGGACACCAAGAGGCAAGGCACAAAGGTGAGCAGCATGACAGGGAGCAGGTCTGTGTGTGACGAGGGAGGGAGGGAGGGAAGGACAGACATTCTTCAGAGATAGACATTCTCCTCCCTGCTGTGCTGGGGTAGGGGGGCCTTTGTTTCCTCCTCCAGTTTATGTGCACACAGTTGGGTGGTTGTGACCCTTTGAAGGTGAACTCTACCCTTGAATGAGAGTTGGGGCTGCAGAGCTCCAGTCTCCACCTGAACTGATGAATCGCATCCGTTGTGGAGACCCGAACCCCTCATAAATCAGCTGAAGTGTAAAGAGTCCTGCTCCTCCAGGCTGGGAAGAAGCGACCAGAGCCCCTTTCCACTCCCAGTCTGTGTGCTAAGCTGCCAGGAAGTCAGTGGGAAAGTCCAAACTCCTCTTCCTGCTCCTATGTTGGGGATAACCCCACTCTTCTGTACATAGCCCTGAAGGTGCACGATGAAACCACACACAAGCACAGAGCGCAGTGACTAGGGAAAAAAAACCCGAGCAGGGGCTGGCTTCATGTTACGCCAAGCTTTCAAATAGGGCTGGGAGAGAGAGGAATGAAGGTTTCATACAGTGTTCAGGCTTCCCCACAGCTCTGAAATGTCTGTCGAAGATCCATTTTTAGAGGGCTTTAAATCTTTATGCATATTGCAATTACTGTGAAGTTTGAGAGCATCATGGAGATGCAAGCAGTGCCAGTGAGCCAACCATGAAATTGTCTGTGCTAATGGTTCCCAACACAGAGCATTACCCCCCAACTCCTTAAGGCTCACAGATTGTAGCATGTTTTGGCACATACCTGACAATATCTTGCCTCTGATCTCAGTTCCTCTACCCGCAGTCCCCTACCACACACCACACAGCATGCCTTTGGGTGAGCAAAGCTGAACGTGATGTTTAACAGAGAATTAAGTTGTACTTAGGAGTTTAATGCTTGTGATCTAAGGGTCCCTTCTCTCTTGCTGGGGATGTAGGAAGCCCATCCTGCCCTGCTGGGGGATCTGAAACAAAATACAACGCTTCTAGAAGCACCTCAGTTTTCTTGGTATCGCCATGTAAGAGCTAGTAAGCGTGGAGGTCTGAGCCCCTCTCCCTGCCCACCATTTCCTAGGATCAGAAAAACCTAGCATCAATCTCCCTTTCCTTCGCTCCTTCCCCTCCACCATAAGCAAGGCAGGATTTTAAAGACCCGCTCCCAATCCTATTTCACTCCTATTTTACAGCTTCACCACTCCCCTGCACTCAGGGTCATCTAATATAGCCAGTTTCTTTCCTACCAACCTACTGACAAACCCCATGGCAAAAGGACTTCCGTGTCCCACCAAATACACATCATGACACTGAAACGAGGCACAGCGGATTTCTCAAAGACTTCTGTGCGTCATAAACACACAGACGGATGCAATCAAACAGACAGACAATGTCATTTCTCTCCTGCAGCAACAGGACTTTCCCAGCTCACTTTGTAGCACGACCACAGCTCTGCAAAACTGTTCTGATTAATCTCATCACCATTCAAGACTACTCGTCTCACTGCATCCGTCAGGCTTGGGTACATTTGGATCATCCTCATTACCTCCTGGCAACCTCCAAGCAGGCCGAATTGCATTCCTGTGAGTTTAAGAAATCTTGAGTTTTCCTAACTCAGCCTTCTGGAAGGGCACAAATCACATCAGCCAGCTGCTGCTCTGCATCAATCTTCTTTTTGTTGCAGACTGTACAGAAGGATGAGTTCTTCTAATGTATCACGAACTTTGCCTGTGAATGGAAAAGGAAGGAGGAAAAAAGACTAGGAGCACAGAAATAACCTATGAAAAGTTTTATGCTTGTCCTTATGACAAGCAGTTCTGATTCTGCAAACTATAAAAATGAAGTTTAAATGTGAATTAAAAAATGATCAGATGGGAGGCATTTTAGTTGGACGTAACTAGCACCACAGGTTTGTTTATGTGCATTGTTCACTGTATAGTCCCTTCCAGCATATGAATCTCCAGGTACACAAAGTGCTGGCAATAGGAGAGTCTTCTTTATAAGGTTTTTTTCCTGCACTTCTGAAATCCACATTGACATGAAATCTCTGTCTCTGGCATGCTCCCAGCTTCGTAACCATAATCCCACGTGAGTTCAGTTCCAGCTTTCACATGCCTAAGAAATAAAACACTTGGTCAATTTGTTTGAACTAACTGAAAGAGTACTGTGCCTACAAATTTTCACCGGCGACTCACATGCAGACCCCAAAATACAAGGGGACAGGAAGCATTGCACAGGCAGCTTGCTGGGGAAGAACCAAGACATACAAGGAGTCTCTCGCACATGCATGGTGCTTTGCCTACCAAAGCTATGCAGAGTGTAAATACCCATAGCTAGGAGAAATTTTATCAAGCAATGCCATAGGGTCAGAGTCTAGACAACCTGTTCTAACTTCCAGGTAAATTCTGGGAAACAACACACAAAAATAAACACAAGAACATATATCAGTGAATACATATAAATGAGAATAGAGCCAGTTTTGTTCTTTTCATTACATACAGTGCATTATCTAAGTTCAAACAGATCCATAGATACACTGGTGATGAAGATCATCATCTTTGGTCCATTTTAATGGAATTTCACTGTTCTGTGCACAGAGCCCAAGACTCAAAGTAAATGCATGCTCCTCATACCCCTTCTATGAACCAACCACTATGACAAAAGTGGAAGTGAAGCAATTTCTTACGCAGGAATTCATTGCCTGAAACGAACACCAAATTAAATACTTGCAACTAGGATGCTTCAATTTGAGACACAGACAACTGAGGGAAGATACAATAGAAAAAAAAAAAAAGAGTATTACAAAGAAGGGAGCAATTCTCTTATATTTCTCACGGGATAAATATAAGGAGCATCCAGTGAATTATCAGGCAGCAGGCTGAGAACAAAGAAAATGAAGACTTCAAACAGCACATAATTGCAATGTGAGACTTGCTGCCTCAGGATGTTCTGGAGGCCAAAAATGTCAGACAGATGAAAAAGGGATCAGGCAAGTCCATAGAAGATGCACCATTAAGCTTGATGATCCAGATGCAGTCCTTAACGTAGGAAACTTCTAAACAGCTGATTGCCAGAAAGCAAGAGGACAAGCCAGAGGAACACTCCTTCAATAAAATCTTTTCTTCCCTAAGTGTCTTCTGCTGGCCATTTTTACCTCTCTTCACTAGCCTCAAACCCCACTATACGTTTCTTCACTTTACCGAGTACGTGAGGAAGAGAGTCTAGCTAAAACAAAATCTCTTTCTGACGCATTTCAAAACATCGTCTTCAGAGTTCTCCAAACCCCTCCTTACAGGGCAAATCACAGTGCATCTGTGGCAGCGTGGGACCAAGGGCTGGGTCTAGCTTTGCTAGGCTCCCCAGACCATCAGTGTTCCCTGGAGTCCGTTTGTCTTCCCTTCTCCGGAAAAAACCCTCTCCTCTGTACTGTAAATTCTCACCTAGCACCCCCAGTGCCACACCCATCAGCTCAGCTTCTTTCCTGTAACTAACCTTTCCCTTCCCCAGCTTAGCTGCCTTCTCCATCTTGTGTCCTACTGGCACCAGCTCTCTCTAGCTCCCTTCTTGTCATCCACCGAGGTAAGACTCGCATCTTAAGCTTTCAGAGAAAATTTCAATCTCTGAATATCCTTCTGCTATCCTCCAGGACATATGGGGTGATGCAGAACCCTGCCTCTCTCAAGAGCTGCAGGGAAAAGGCCTGCAGTCAGCTTGTTGAGCCAACAGACAAAGTGTCTTGGCCTTGAGACTCTTCTGTCGACTCCAATCCTGCACTTTGGGACCCAGATCTGCTGGCCACGCTTTGAGATACAGCACTTGGGATCAAAGTATCTTGGCTTTCAGAATGACCATGCCAAGTTAAACCTATTTTTCCTCTGAAGACGATTATCACTGAAAGGGAATGCATCAAAATTAAGCTTGCCTCACTTCATATTTCAGTGCAAAACTGAAGGAAGACTCATTTGTAATAATATTCAATAGCTGTATTCTTCGAGTCTTTAGTGCACAATAAGTCACCAACAAGAACATAGTTTTAACGTTTCATGACCTGAATATCTGCTTACTTAACTATTAGGAAAAAATTACGCTAACAACTGTTTTTTCCCTTAGTACCTTGAATAAACAATATCAAAAATAAATAAAAAAAAATCACCTGTTTGTGAAGAATGCCACCCATGGGAAACTTCTGTTGTGAGTCTCTACAAACACGCTCTGTGCAAAGAGATTTGGGCAGCAGCTGTGCTGTGAAACAGAATGTTTGGATTACAAACAATGAAACACCTAGTCTTTGGCTGAAGAACCTATCTCGTGTCAGGTATCTGTCACTTTTAAAGGTACTTCCTTCCTCCCCTTCTCCAATCAACAGAAAAATCTCTATTGCTCAATGCCACTACCATTGATTTTTGCTATGGCTCTTTAAAGTATTATCGCTGTCATTTTACAGAAGTACTTTTGCCTAGAAAAATCAAGTTCTTTCTTTCAAGCTGTCCTCTGGTAATTTATGGTGAGAATTCTTCCGCATCTGTTGCGGGATGCACCAAAAATAATCAGTAAGTGACAGACATATCACACTGTCAGTCAGGACAGCAGTGCTAGGGAGCAAGTGACAGATGAAATGACTGCGTATTTCGGCAAACTGCTATGAGATGCTAAAGGTCAGTCAGGTGCATGTAGGAACGTGGGTAGGGTCACAGATGCAGAAGAAAGGTTTGAGAAAGATGGACTACTAATCATCATCTTACTTCTGCAATGAGGAGCAGCTTAAACTATGCAAGGATTTTGCTGGAAGATATATATGTGTCGATGCCAACGGAGAGAAAATAAGTTAAGTGCAGAGGATATGCAGACGTGTGTATGGAATATTCATACTAATTGGGGGTTCTTTGGAATTCGCTACTATTTCTGTCAACTCAAAATTGAGAGCCACTTATTAAGCAGATATCTACACAGTATGTAAGACTGCCGTTTCAACCTGTGATGGAACTGTAGAGAAGTTTCCTACAATATCACACAACTTGCCTTGAATCAGAATTTACAACAGCTTAGGAACAAAAAATAAGACTGGGAGAAGACTTGTGGTTCGCTAAAACGTGCCACCTGCTCTCTGGACCACTGTAGAAAGGCTATTCAGAATTCAGGAGACAGAGGTCGCACATTACTTGGGGATAGTCTACTCCTGGGCCTAGTGGTGGCCAAAACTACACCCATTACGTACTATGCATCTTCTTACAGAGGCGCTCCCAGCTTGCATGACCCAACTGGCTGTTCTGTCACTTCAGAGTGCAAAGAGTCCAACATCGCCTGCCTTGACCCACACCCACCATACACTGGGGTTATGCAAGGACAAACTTTTGCAAAAGCTTTCAGGATTATGCAAATACATCATTTATTTATTTAAGCTAAAACAACTAAGAGAACACATGCGACTTTTTACTTACATTAAGAAAGCGGCCCACATTTCCTTCTTTTGTGGCATCCAGTATATAAATATTTTCTTCATCCGCATTCTTCAGAAGAGCCCTGTCACCATCAGCCTCCTCACAAAATGCCTTTTGTTTTGACTGCCTGTGTTTTTCCTCTTTACAGTCAGCTTTTTGGGGTACGTTTTGGGACAGTCTCGCAGCACAAGCATCATCCAGCACAGCTGACAGGCCACAGGGAGTACCCTGCCGAGAGAGACTCTTCCTTTTGCGTTCTGCACCATCCCCACCAGCAAGCTCAGTCCGTCCAGTTCCCATCAGATGTTCTTCCTTCTGCTGCTGATTGGACTCTGTTAATAGACATATAAAAGTTATTTTTCAGTGTCAGTTTAAAGCAAGTCAGCAGTAACTACGGACCAAAGCCCTTCCCTTGCTTGGCTCTCCACTATTATCCACCCACCTTCCTTTGTTCTCCAAAATGTATGTAGCTTCCTTCCTTGCTATTTAAAGGGCCTTAACACAGCTCTGCCCTTTTACACCTCTCATCACTATGCTTCCTGCTGTAATGCCTAAAGCACTTGCTCAAGTCTCCTGGGAGCAACCTAGTTTCTCCTTTCTTTTCAAATCCCACTTCAAATTGATTTCTTCCACATGACATTTTATCATCCTCCTCCACCTTTAATTTCATTCTGCAGAGAAGCACAAACTGCAACGAAGGCCGAAGCGAGACGCATGTGCAAAAAACATCTGTTTCACGCTCTCTCTCCAGGTGGAGCCCACTCCTCCCCGCCCCATCATTATATCCTGTTCTGTTTTGGTTGTCTGGAACACGTATTGGATGTGACAATAATGTTTTGCAAGACTGACTTTCCCAGAATTGCACTGTATTTCAGAAACTGTTCTCAGGACTGCTCAACATGTCCCAAGATCAAATCTGCATGCAAAAGATTGCCTGCCCTGTACCAGTTAATGCACTGCAGTATGCAAGGTAGTATTAACTTCTGTACCACTAAGCTCCGGTAAGACAGCCCAAGTATTATATGTGGACATCATCATCATGTGGAGAACAGGCCTGCACACATCCAAAGATCACTGTCTGCATTTTAAGTCTGTTACCTGATGGGGCACAAGCATGCTAAGAGCTCTGCAAACCTACTTTCTTTTCCTTTCTTTGTTCCAGTGGTTAGTTTTGTTTTGCTCGACTGATGCGGTTGAGAACTATTATCTTCATCTGAGCTGGCACCCTGCACCACTGTATCAATTTCCTTTAAAGAGATCAAAAGATAAGGAAAAGGCTGTGATATGTTGTTGCCATACGCAGCTTTGGGTCAACACAGGAAAGCAGCTGGATTTCAAGGCTCTGGGGTTAAAGTTTTAAACTTACTGTAAGGTATGGATATGACTGAGTTTCAAAAGCCCAAACGCTTACTACAGTCCAACAAACTTCTTAATTTTAAGTTACCCTCCAAAATAAGCTGTAAGGAGGACCCCACTCAATAAAACATTTTAATAAATGCTTAAGTCTCACTGACTTTACCAGGATTTACACACATGCTTATATAAGTTGCTGAACCAAAGCCCAAACAGGCTATTTACATGGTTTTAATAAAATGAACAGAAGTGGCAAGATTTCTCCTCTCTCACCAAAAAATGGTAATTAATTATGGGAGCTCCAGAAAGGACAGCACCATTGACTGTTCATAGGGAAACGTGATGCACGTTTCTTAAGCGCTATGAAACCCACAGAGTAAGTTTACCACAGTTTCCCTCCTTTCCACATATTTCCAGGCAATGCTTCACACCCAGATGAGAACAAGTTCTCCCAGCTGTGTCACCGCATGAGATAAACATATCCAACTTCTGAGATTCTCTTCTCCTCTCTCCCTGCTGTGTCATTCTTTGGGAAGACATTAGGAAAACATCATCACTCAGAGTACCCACCACTGCAATTAGTTACTATGGAGGACAGAGGAGGTGAATGATTTCCAGAGACTCTCACGACTGGAGCGGAAGCCAAGGGTGAGCGTGAAGGAAGGAAGGCTGTGAGAAGAATTAGTGCTGCTCTCAGGGAACATGTTGGAGGATTGATAATGTAGAAGCAATAGCTTCCAGCACATCAGCTTGTGTCACGCTGTGAACTAATCTCATGAAGAAAGTTCATGAGAATTTTTTAAATGTGTAAGACGAAAAGGTCAAAATTAACATATACATTCAGCACAGTGAAAATGAACCTATTAAAGCCATTTAATATTACTACCATTTTTAGCCGGTGATTGTGAAGAACAGCTATTCTAGTTCCAGACCTTCTCATGGCTGCAATATTCAAATTCCTTGGATAAACCCTGTACAGAAAGATCAAAGCAAAAGACAAAAAGACCCATAAATAACTCTTGCAGCACATTTCTCAAATAGTCTTCCATTCATAAAGAACAGACTACAAAGCCTGCAGTCTTGTGTCACTTTCAGTTCTGTGACTATTTTGGATTTAAGAATTGAGCAAATAGGTTGTCAATAGTATCTGTAAAAAACAGTTCATCGTACTAAGAGATTGGCAGCTGCTTTTATATCCTTTCCCAGTTCTCATGCTAAGACTCAAATTCTATCCTGTTTAGCTAACTTGATTACTATATCAGCTCATCTCAGAACACAGTTCCTACAGACAGAATTTTGCCTTTTTCCTGCTATTGCTTTCAGCACTTTTGACACTGTAGCTTTCTAACAGGCAAACAAAACAGATGTTGCGGGGCCAAAGGACAGAGAGGGAGACATAGGGAGAGAGAGTGAATATATAACAGAAAGACACAACAGTCCAGCACAAAAGAACCTCAGTCTTTTAAATCAGGGAAAGGCTAAGGTAGGATGGGAAGCAGTGTCTGGTTCTAGGAAATATATATTTTCAAGGCATCAAAGTCACATTCACTTTGATTACGTTCCGAGTGCAGTAGGAAATACCAGCTTCACCTACACTGTATCTCTGTGCAACGTCTAGCAATAAGTAACAGCTCTTACTCAAGAAAACTTACAACCTAGTACACTCATATCTATTTCCTTGCCATAAAACATGGTGGTATTTCCTTGGGCTACTGATAACGGCAAAAAACCACTACTCTAAGGCTTCCTTAAGTTTGAAACACGCTTTTCACATTCAAAAGCTGCACTGGTCATCAAAAGTTGTGACATTCTTACATATTATATTTGGTTTGTCCTCTTAAAGGCTATCTGCTTGGGAGAATGACATTTAAGACCAGGCACACCAACGTATTCTCAAAGGTTGTTCAGATCAGTTGGACTGTTACTTCTTAAAAGGCAGAATGACAACAGCTTTTTTGTCTATAGTATTTCTTATATATCCCACACTGGAAATATAACAACTTCAAAACCATGCTTCCTTGTAATTTACAGTAAAAGTACTTAGCAGAAGTCAAGTCTAGCTAATGGCCGATAATTACATACTTTACAAAATATTAATTCATTAGGTTTCCAAGACACTGAAACGCAAGTCAGAATTTGTGAAGCTGGTCTAGAGATGGAAATAGAACACCTTTCATTGCAACTATCAATTTCAGGATTACAGAAAAACAAGAATTTGTAGAGACTGCCTGTCTCACTGGTGTGCTCTAATCCTCTCTCTGACCCTCCAGTGCAGTCTTAACCACGCCTGTTGCAAAAGCCTCTCTTCTAGTGCTCGCTGCCTGGAGTTAGTCTTCCTGTATCTCCCAAGTTTGATCTCTCACGTGAAAATACATGCCCGGTCGTTGTCTTCCTATGATTTAAAATACTGTATCCTTTATTTCCATTATTAAAAAAAAAAAAAAAGTTGTTTTAAATAAGAGCTTCTCTGCTCTAAAAAGATACTGGTAGGTATTTTAAAAAGTTTCTAGTTGCAACTTCATGGTGCTTCTCACAGATTCACAGTAATCCTCTTCTGTGAGATGAGTAAAAATTTGCAACTTTTTATGGATGGTAAAAAGGAAGTGTTTACCAAGCAGTGTGGCAGAGCAGGGAATAAAGTTTAGGAAAACAAACTCCCCACCTCCTTCTGAGAGGACTGCTGTTGGCAAAACCATACAGGTTGCTTTACAGGCTTTTGTTTTAGGAATTGGAACTAGGAGGCCTCAAATGTGAAATGAAAACAGGATTACAGCTTTTGCATAATTCATTCCAAAGGCAAAGCGTTGCTAGACTCTTGCTAGGAAAGAACAAGACGTTTACAAAGAACAAGAGGTTTAGAAATTGGAAGCAAAGGACACGACTGTTAGTGGCTACTCTGTTATCAAACCCTTCAGTGTCATGAAGTATTTTAAAATGTTTTCTCTTTTTTCAAATTAGCATAATGGTTCATGCCCTGAACAGATCAAGCACACACAGGAATCAAAGGGGATTCCTAGAAAATGCCAAGTGGTACACATGGTAAGTGAAATTTATAGGAATAACTCTATCCAACTAGAAAAAGTAATCAGGAATTTAAAAGAGCTTATTAAACTCCCCCCCCCAGTTGAGGGCATTCAGTCATTCCGTTCTACTCAAAATTTTACAAAAGATTTTCTAGAACAGCAGCATGTAAGTTCTGTTATGTTTGCTCCGGCAAACTTACACAGTTGATTTGTTTTCATCATTCACAGTCTGAGATGAAGACTCCTGCTCCTCAAGGACGTGATCTTTGCCAGTCTGCACTAGTTCAACCTCAGAGTCTGAGCAACCAGTGTCAAGTTTTCTTTTTTTGGAAAGAACGCCATGCCCTCTGTCATTCACAGCACTTTGCTCTTTCAGCTCTTGACCAGCACCTCCCAATACTTGAACTTCAGCTCTACTCATTAATCTGCCTGGAAGAAAAAGAGAAGATGTTTTTAATTTGTTTGTTTGCTAAGAAGGTAAGTGTGTTAAGTCACAGTCACTATTCCAGCACAAACTTACATTAAGAAAAACAGCAAGATCATTATTTGGGAAAGCAAAATATGAATGCATTTATACTACAGGGAGACTAGCCCTTGCACAGGATGCACAGACCTGTGAAGGAAAAATCAAAAGTCTGAGACAGGCTTTGCTCCAGAATGCTTTGAACGCTTGGCTGGCACCATCACGCTAGAGAGTTCTTCAAGGTTCTTCTGGCCTTCTGACCACCTGCAAGTCAAGATCATACTGACTCACTTCTCTTCTAATCCTAGAGTATTTCTCTCTTGGGTTCTCAAAAAATAATTCCAGGGGATACACCACAGAGGAAGGAGAACGGTACTATAACCTTCCATTTGTCAACTTCTGTTACCTGAGTAAGTGCAAACAAACGTCCCCTTGTCAATATCATCCAGGCAGCGGACGCCCCAGCCCTTCTTTTCTGTGTTGAACACTTGCAAGCGAACTTGGATGCCATGCTGTACAACTCTGTTCTGACACATCATCTTGTCACACCTGCACGACACACTACACTCATAAATTCTGTCAAGAGAAAAACAAAACAAAGCACAGTATTAAACAACGCATTACCAAAACAAAGTCACTGTTATTAATTTCCTCCCTGAGCGCAAAAAAAGCAGCTCACTGAAGAGACAAAGACCCAAGCTAGAATTGATTGTGAGGAGTGTTTTGGAGCTCATGACTTTCTTAATTTGTGACTCATCAATTTTAAGAGGCTGTCAGACAGATTTTGCTATAGGTAGACAAGAAAAAAAAAGTTACCTTTTTATTTTATAGGAGGAAGTCACACAGATGCAGAAATCGTAATGGAGCACTTTGTTCTATGCTGGAACAGATTTTAGCAAAGAGAGCCTGTCTGTCTGAACTTCATTAGCTGTCATAAGTTTTAGAATTTACAAAATGTTGCCAGAAGCATTCACTATTGTACTTTTGTGGACTTTTTTTCTGGGATGGGCATGGTGTTGAGATTCTGGAACAACTCCAATGGCAGCTTTAATTCTGTAGGCCAACCATAAGCCAACATCACATAGCCACAAAGGATTGGGAGAAGAGGCTCCTTAAGCCTACGGGTTCAGCGCTTGGACACCGCAGAAAGCGACCTTGCACAATGCCTCACCTACAGTCCTGAGGTTATCAGCATCTTCCCACAGGCCACACAAAATTTTATAGGAGCTGCTAGCTTTACGATGCAGGGGTCAGGTGGCAGTTTCAGAACACCTTCCTAGACTGCTAAGGGGAAAGGGGAGCAGGTCAGCTGGCTTAGGAGTTGGCTTCCATCTCCCACATCAGGCACAACAGCCTGTTTCCTCCAGCACTGATGTAGGTGCAACCCCTTCCCCACCTGCCTGGCCTTCTAAAAAGGCTACAGCACCCATTGCAACGGGGGCTGCTATCACAGTAGAAACTGGAAGCGCAGTATCACCTTATTCCTCAAGCTCCCTGCATGCACCATCCCAGATCCAGCAACGGCAGCTGGCTGATGTTTCTTTAAGACTCTAGTTCTACAGAGCAACTGGCTCGTCAGGATACAGGCCAAAAAACAAGGAGGTGGCTGTTGTTTACCACTTCTTCGGCTGACATACATTGTGATGATCTTGTGGCAGCCCTTCTCCCCTTGTGGCAGGCCTCCTCCCCTCTCCCTTCGGCATGCCCGAATGAATCGGTACGCTACAGTAATGATAAAATAACAGTATAAAGACAAAATAATAATATAAATCCTGTGTTTCTTACCCACTAGGAACAGGTCCCTCCAGTCTTTTATAATTGTATCCATGAGATGTTTTAGTACTTGGAGACAGAGAAATTTCACTACAGCCTCTTGCAGTTAGCTGTAGGCATGCACATTTTGACCTAAAAGATCAACAGTAAAACATCATACGGAAATCTGAATGTATTTGGAGCAGTGTAATCACACTTAAATCTAGTTAATTTAAAATGTGCTTGACTATATGCTTTTCCCCATCTTTACCCCATCAGGTCATGTCAGTACCATACCATCTTCTTTGTCTCTTGCCTGGTTATATGTGCTTTACAACCTATAGTTGTGTTTTCTTCTTTTTCTTTAGTTGTTGTGTTTCTCCCCTCATTCTTCTCCCAAGCTCTGTAAAAGGCCCATGCAAACAACTTAACTGGGACAGAAACTAATTATAAACAGGACATTGTCAAATGGATTGAATGAATAAATGAAAATCACTTGCTCTGGCACAACATCCCAGTCTGATGAAGCAGTCTTCATCACCTTCCTCCACCCTATTCCCCAGGAAGTAAAGAATTTCACATTGCAAACTGGAGAACTCATGCAATAATGCTATCTGCACCATCTTATGTCACTACAACTCTAAAAACTTAGATTTTATTTATTTATTTATTTTTTTGCAAACGGCAACTGACCAAAGCCTGACCCCTACAACTGAACAGCTAACGCATCTCTTAACTCTTGGGGAAATTCAGAGCACACAAGGAGCATGCTATTGCTTGCTGTTCCCCACTGCTCAGCTGAAACTAAATAACTTGAATAACTGAAGCATCATTACTCTAGGCTGTGATCTCAAGCTTTTGTTGGGCATGGACAATAATACTGCACACCAGCATGTGCAACTGCTGTAGCTGTCAGGAACACGAAATAGATTCAAAAACAACGTAACAACTACAGGCAGAGATGACGTTGAAGACAAACACCCTTCCTGAAAGTAGACAAAATCATCATTACAGTTACATAAAGGTAACTGCAGCAGCTTCCCATGGAATAGCACATCATTCAGAGTTACTGGGTTTTAAAGACAAATGAGCAACACCATTTGAACAGCTCAGAACATAAACGTGTTCTGTGACTGCAGGGTTTCACAGTTTCTGTTTAGGCAAGGAGAGAGATAGGATTTAGATGCTGTGAATGGAAATGTTTCTTCCTTTGCCCCCCATAACATTCTGTGTCAAAAATTATCTGATCACAACTGGCTGCCCTAACTCAGCTCCAAAAGATACCATCCCAAAAAGGAAGCTGCAGCAGAAGTTGGTATGCAGGAAGGAGCCTTCCGTGCCTGCCAGGAAAATTAGCATTCCTCAACTTGTGCAAGCGTCTCCCTCGCTCCCTTCCCAAAGCCAGGGGACCTACTTGCCAGCTCTACTCGGAGGAGGAGAGGCCAATTGGGCCAACTGCCAATTTGGGAAGAAAAAGAAAGGAACATCATAATCCACCACTTGCTCACTTCCTTCCCTACAACCGGGGCTAGGCTGGTAGCAGCACCCAAGTTCTGGAGAAGACAAACACACAGCAGTGTCAGTCACCACGGAGTATGGCACACGACAGCTACTGCAGATACCACAGCACTGTTGGTCCTTCGTCATTTGGCAGCGTTTGGTACCATGCGTCTTCAGATTGACAGCATCACCTTGCTATTGACACTTCACGCATCACTTGTTTGGGATCAGATTTTTCAACCTACCCATCAACGCAGCCATCTGTACAGTCACATGAGTCAACAAACATGCTAGAGAAATTGTTGAGATAGTATCCACGCGGCCACGATGCCCTCCGATACTTAAAATAGGGTAATCTTGCACGGTCAATATCATTACAGAAGGAAATAGGCACCGACTCAGCTCCATTGCTAATGTCAAAGTCAAACACAAGGGGTTCGGGATTTACAGTGTTCCTGCCCAAGAGTACATATGTGTTGAAAGAGAAGTGATCAACAAATAAGAAATTGCACTCTGTTTCAAACAAGTAACTCTGCACATCTTGAAAGCTTCTCAGACTCCTTCCACAGGGAGCTTTATAATTCACATCCAGTGATTTTGAAAGGCAGTCGGCTTTTGCATGTCGTCTTTGAAAGTGAAACAGTATTGGTATCTTAAGAGGATTTTCACCTTTGTAGGAGCCCAATGGTCTGTTGGCAAGACACACACTAGAGCACTTGTGATTCTGATATTGCAGCTTTAGCGGTAACTTTTGCATTTCACTAGACGCTTCTTCGTTCTCTGAACCTGATTTTCCCTTCTGCTCCTTTTTGCTATTTGGAATAACAAATGAAAAAAAAAAACCCAGCATCTTAGACAATGAGTAAAATATTCAATCTTTTAGTGGTTCAATAATTTTAGTATAGGAAAGAAGCAGCCCATTGCTAAAAGGCCAAGGGTTTCAATGTACTACTGTTTGCATTGTGCTGCTGTCCTGATACCATATGAAGGCATTCACAACAGCATCCCAAATAAACGGTAACAGCTTCTGCCTGTGAAGAACTTACATACCAAAACAAAGAAATAATAATTTTATATAGAAATGATATCTTTACCCTCATTTTCCAGATCAGTACCTGAGGCATGGAGAGACTAAGTCACTTGCCCGATAGACTACATGTCTGTGAAGGATCCGAGAACTGAACTTAAAAGTTTGAAGCCTTCCCCAATAATTCTGGTAATACTTGTGGATCTTTATTCACAGCCATATGTCCTGTTTTATTCTGCTCTGTTCTCAAATGGCAAATTTGATTCAAGTCTACTCAAAAACTCAAGTTTCCCATGTAGGCCAAGTTTAAAATATTTTCTCTTTGAAAACTGTCCGGATGCAAAACTGGGTTTAAAACACTGAATAAATTAATATTAGAGAGAGCTAAGAACTCTCTCAAATGCAATAAAGACTATGTCAAACAGCAAACTTTGCTAAAATGGAAAAAAGCGTGAAATAAACACACTGACCTGTGACAGCCTTCTACTGAGTTTGCAGCGTTGTCATCTGTAGGAACAGCCTGCAATTGGGGTTTGTTTTCCTGTGTATCGTGTCCGTCAAAGACATCGCTTACTGAAAAAATTGGGATACAAGTAGAAAACCTTGGCAATCCACATTTCAATTTATAATTGAAGTTACCTTAGTTACTAAACAGAAAACTGTCAAAATACACTAAAGACAATCCACTGCAGTGAACTACAGCTAACAAAGAGCATGCTGGCAAGCGCCCTACTAAAAAGCAGCTACTACTTAAAATTTACAGAAAGCCACGTGTTTGCATATAGGTTTGCAAGCGAGAGAGTCTCTCAGTGTCTCTGTCTCTCATTAAGCTCTCCCACGTACCTTTTAAGTTTGTGCAAGTTGTTATTATCGAAGTGCACAGAAACAATGCATGTATGAAACACACAGAGATTTTCCTTCATTATCCGAGGTAAAAGGAGGCCAGGGTATTGGGGTAAGTGGAGTCATCCACACTGAACACGTACCTTGAACGTTTGGGAGAGAACAAAGCGACACACGCAAGCCAACTCTACTTGCAGCCAGCTCAGGTCCATCAGGGTTTATTATGCCCTTATTATTATTTATAGCACATACAGGCATGCATACCACAAAAGTGAAAACCCACATCAGAGTACCCAGTCCAGAGTACCTGAGGAAACTAATAATTAGATTTTTTTTCCATGTAATGCTAATAGATTTCTCAGATCTAGTTTATTGTTTTCAATTAAAAGAAATAAGCTCCTGTTGAGTAAAACAAAATAAATTAAAGTCAAATATTGACTAAATACAGTCAAAATGCACATACCATTTGTCGAGGTTAAGAGATCACTTAGATTAGCTTCATTCACCAGGGCCCAAGCCTGCCAGCAGTCTACATAAATGAACAAAACAGCACAGATATGAGGTTTAATTTAAGTAATAAGGACAGTGATAATAGGAACCAGTGAAAGGAAACACAAGGCTCGAGTCCCCTGAAGACATCTGTTTCCACGCTGTGCTAGCCTACAGCAGTGCAACACTCAAGCTGTCAGCAACCTCTCACACCTCAGTCCATAACAGACTCATCAAGAAGTTACCATAACGTTACGGCTCACTTCAGTAATTCTGAATCAGCACTGAGCATCCTCTGGCTTTCAGAAAGCTGCTAGAATAGGGCTTCCAAAGGCATACAATCCAGTAGCCTCCCATCTTAGGAAGCTATGTAAACAAAATTTAGTGTAGGGTCTCCCTCTGTGTCACCAAACTAGTCACCTTCTGGCTTAGAAGGGCTGGATCTTGTCAGACCAAGTTAATGCTTGGTGGAAATGGCCTTCAGATAGTAACACAAAGAGTCCAGTTCTGTTTCAAGCTATTTCCCCACGCAATAAATATGACAAGGCAGTAGATAAACACCGGTAAAATCCCTATTAATACTTCACTCTGAAATCTTGATAGAACAGATCACCAGGAAAGTTCAAATTTAACTATGTGACAAATTCATTGCATTATCTGGGGCTTTATGTTCAATTTTCCGCTACGCACTGCCGTAATACTTCATCATAAAACCAAGATGTGGGTGCTTGAGTACACAAAAAGTTGCTTTACTAATTTAGAGTTAGCACTATAACAGAGCGTGTAGCTATACCAATTAAAAAGCATCTTACACCTCTGTACATTTTCCTGCACTGAAAAAGCACTAAGATGCATAGATTACACCTAGATCAGTAACTGAATAAAAAAGTCGTATTTCTAAATTAAATAAGTAAACCACCAGTGCATTGCTCCAGGCCCACGAAACTTCTAATTTTAACATTAATAAGGGAAGTGAATTTTAATGGAAATCGGGAGCAATCTTATAATGCATTTCTGTTAGATTTTTCCACTGAAGTTTCAAGTCATAACAGTGCCTGCAAAGTTAAATAACACTTCATGACATTATCGTCTCAGTACAAAACCATTCAACTAACTGAGATCAGCTTGAAAGGCTAAAACTTCTGAAGAGAAACAAAAACAAGGCACTGCAGATACTTCATTACCTTTCATGAATAAACACCTCACCTCTGTGTGCTTAAGAGCCATATGTTGTTTGAAAAAGTATAAAGGCAAAAAGAGAAAATGGCAACATACACCTGAGACGGTTAGCCCATTTATTTCTGTAAACAATGACGACTTTCAAAACAACTTCTGAAAAGAAAGGAAAAATCATCTGGCAGCTGGACAGACAAAAAGCAGTGAAGAGTCTGTATAGTATGGGTCAGCTCAGGGACATGCAGGGTCCATCCGCTGTTTATGAGGAACTAAGTAAATGACACGAGCATGCACAATTAATTGTATGGACTGTTATGGAAGAACCTGCCACACTTTTGAGACATAATTTTGTTAATGTATGTGTCTAGAAGTATATAGAGGCTACCTGGAGCATTTTTTCCCTCCATCCAAACGCAAAATTTAGTAGTTTTCTTATGAATGCAGTTTTGCTGCACAAGAGTTGTACTGCACAAGAGTTGTACTATACATTATGTACTGTGTTGAAAGAAACAAAAAAAAAAAATCAGATGATTTCTCTCAGACTGTAATTGGTACCTTCTATTTATCTGGTCAGGTCTCAAACTTTTTTTTTTTTTTTTTCTGAGGTGAGAACAATTGTGATAACTCAAGAAGGTAACTCAACCTCAATGCAGTATAGAAAAGTATGGGTTATCTGTCCTCAAGAACATTAACTACTAATTTAAACTCAGAGATATCTGAACTGTGGCAAATATATAGCTCTATACAAAGTGGGCTACAGCTTCATCCCAGTCCTGCTTAATCACTACAATGATTTCAAACCTTGGTTTGTGGCAGTTCCATTCTTGATCTTTTGCTTCAGCAACAGCAGTACGTTTTGCACCTGCTCGAATATGAAGTCCACTCTTCTACCTTCCATTTGTGTCCAAAATGTCTTCAGATCACCTGAAATGAAAATCTCCACCTACAATTCTGTGCAGCTTCCCAGGAGTCTAAGCATACAATAGGTGTTGGTAGACTTTTCAAAGGTCACACTCAGGGGCCCGGTACTTCTGAACAAATCAGCCAGGATACTGTGTATTTTTGTACACTTATACCTGTAAAAGTCAATTCCTAAACCTAACCAGAAAAGTGAAACAGAAGTCAAGTGACGAGCTGAAACGGCTTCTGATGGTCCCTGAATAATCTTAAAATTGTTTTTGAAGTATGACTACAAAGGATGCTGCGGGAGCACTTCTCCAAATACTGACAAATCAGTCCCACTAGAAATTGATCAGCACTGAAACTCACAGAAGTGATATAGAAGAATATTTTCAACTTGATCAACTGAACATACTATTAAACAAAGCACACTTGAAAATTTCTCATAGCCATGCTCTTCAGCTACGTAAGTTGGCTGTCCTGTCCTATGAATTTTTTTTGGTATGTTTTCCAGGGAAGATAATGTTCAAAATATTTTCAGATAAAAGCAGTTTGGTAAATTTCGCTTATCAAGTAATATTAGTTAGAGTGATATTTATAAAGAATATAATTTAAACATAATGTTTAAAGACCTTTTAAAGAACTTATTGAACAGAACCTGGTTTATCACATCTCTTTTCTTTTCCAAGTATGTGCACTTGTATATGTATGCAAGAATATGTGCCTTTGAGGTACTAACTCCGTAAGAGCTGCAGTACATCTCTGGCAAGAACTCTGAAAAGGGCTCTGAAATATGTTTCAGGGTGTTGCCAGACCATGCTGGAAAAGAGAACATGCTCTCTGTTATGGTTAACATTTCTCTTCTTCAACAATAAAGCACAAAAGAATAACTAAATCTGGTTTCCCACTCCATATCCGGAGCAAGAGTCCACTGTCACCATATCCAGCTTACATTCTGATTTCAGGTGCCAAGTCTGGACTGGCAAATGCATAGACATTTATGATGAAATCCCCCCCGGAAGTCACAAAACACAGCATCCTTGTAAGGCTGGCAAATAAGTTTTTCTTCAGTTTTTTCCTTAGCAGAGAATGACTTCTGGGTGCCCAATATAACAAGAGCTGAGTAATGCTATGGCGGTTCAGGGCCTGTAGTTACTCTCAGAAGTATGGAGACAACAACAGTCAAGAAAGTGACAGTCTTTTGTCAACACCAGCTGCTGCTTACATCTGCTTAAGAGTTTGATATTAAATATCAACATACAATGTTAAAAGTACTTTATCTTATAAAACTACTAATTTGGAAAGACATTAACTCTTCAACATCATTTCATGAGCTTTTGTATTCACAGAAGTAAAGAAGATGAGGAAAAATCAGACTCCCATTATAAAGATGTTCACAGTGTCTCTTGGAATCCTACACTACTGCTCCAAAAGACAAATAGAACATATCACTACTACATTCAGTGCTCAAGTCACTCACTCCTCTTTCAAACACTTCCCAAATTCTCGTGCTTGAGTGCCCCGAGACTCTAGCAGCAAATAGATTGCAACATGGTTTTCTTTGGAATCATTCCATATGAAGCTCACGGTGTAATTTCGGTTCCCAAAAAAACAGATGTCCATCTTACTAATCTCATATCTGGTTTTAATGCTGCTCTTGTCAATCCTGGCAAGAAGGTCAAGGAATGAACAGATACAGGGAGCATCTACCTTCTTAAGCCTTCAAAATGATCTCACCAGCTCATGATGGAGGACATGGACTGACATCTGATGGAAATACTTCTAGAACTAGCTTAGGCCATTAACCCTGCAGGGATTTTTTTTTTCCCTGATGGGATCTTTGTGGCCACGTATCTTTCTTTTAGCATTGTGCAGAGGAATAATGCTAGAGAAGGAACAAGCAGCTAAGGCCAGGGCTACTTATGCCAGCTAACAAAGAAATACTCGGGTGACTATTTCCTGATAAGAACCTGTACTTCTGACACATACCTTTTACATACATGACAAAAAGCACAACCACTGTCCTCCAGTAACCATTTCTGTACTAAAAGTGGTGCCAAATATATACTTTCCCCATTTGCTCCGTAAACGTAAACGATATTACCTTCAAATCTCTCTGCGGTGGAACTGGTAAGCTTCTCCACTTCAAGGCAGTCTGACAGCACTGCAAGGGGTGCAGAACAGACAAGTATGTAAGAAACCAGCACAGAAATTAAAATACTTACAGTAGTGAACTTTTTCTAGATTTCTACAAGTAAACATCTACAATAGATCTCAGAGCACTGTGTGAGACAGCATTGTGGTGAGGGTACTCATCTCAGTTCCAAAGACACATGGAAGTCACATGTCTGGTAGAGAAGTCTTGTCAAGACGTAACAAAACAACACTTGAAATAAGATGTGTGAGAAAACCTTTTTTACAATGACAATTTCTTAATATACCTAAAGCATGAAGCTTTCAGGAGATGACCTACACTTTTCAGCAAATCAGTTGAGGTTACATAATCCCTGCTTCCTATTAGCTTATATTTCTCATTTAAAAAAAATAAAAGAATGCTACTAGTACAGCTGTACTGAAACTAAATTGATTTACCTAGGAAGAAGTGAAGACTTTGCTACACAAAAAAAATCTGGGTCTCAAAAGATGTAAGATAAAGCATGCATATCTGCACTGCAGTATCGCTAAGGACAGGTAAGCGGCATTCTTCAACCACAGTGAAGATATCACATTTCTGACTACCACCACTAACGACACAGAGAGCAAAAGACATACCTTAGCTATAAATGAGTTATTTGCCGTTTTCAGTGCTGTATCTGTAAACTGTTCCTATTCATTCTGGCACAGAAACTTCATCTGGTTGACTGAGAGGAGGGGCTAAGCGAAGACTGTTGATTCCTAGAAGAGTTCCTCACGAAAGCTGCCTAATGACTGCTCGAAACACTTCCTTCATTTCCTTTTTATTTTTTTTTTAATTTTTTTTAAAGCTTACTTTTTTCCCCCTCCATCCTCCAGGCCGGCTGCGCGGAAGGACGTCAGGCTCCTCGCTGGGTGCCGCCGGCCCAGGTCGCAGGGCGGTGTACGCGGCGGGCTGGGCACGCGGCTGCCTGCCC